GCTCTTGCTCAGGCTGGTTTCAAACTCCTGAGCTCAAACAATCCGCCCGCCTCAGCCTCCCAGAGAGCTAGGATTATAGGTGTGAGCCACTGCACCCGGCCAGATGTTTAGGTTTCTTTGTGTTTTCTAGATAGCAGCCCTTGGTTGGGTGTAGGTCATGCGCATGATCTACTCTAGGGCCTGCCTCTTTGTACCTGCTGAGTGCTATCTGTGGTGGACAGAAGTTCCTAATTATAACGTAAAACTTACTGATCTTTTCCTTTATGGTTAGTGCATTTTGTGCCTTAAGAAATATTCCCTTGTTCTGATATTGTAAAGATTTTCCACATTGTTGTCTAAAAGCCTTACATTTTTTTGCTTTCTGGGGTTTTAATTTAGATAGAATTAGTTTTTATGCATAATGCAAGGAAGGACTTGGATTACATGCATTTTTTCCTCGTGGAAACCCGGCTGGCCCAGTGTCCTCATTGGAAGGTCTGACCTTTTGCACCAGTCTGCTGGACCGCTGGTGTCGCTCCAGGCTGTCCTAGGCCCTCCCTTCTGCCTTCTCTTGCTGCGGTTGGCACCTGCAGTGCAGCTCTGCACGTGGGGCTGACCTCCTAGGGCTGAGAGCAAAGGAAAGAGAAAGCCCAGGTTTTCTCACCCTTTCTGGCTCTCTGGGTCTCTTCCCAAAGAAGGGAAAGGTACAGGGGGTTTCTCTTGACGTTTTTGTCATCTGCACCATGGCACAGCACAGCATCTCGACTGGGTCAGCCTTCAGGTCGAAGTCGGGGGTAAGGCAGGAAGGAGAACCAGGCCCTGCCCCGTCCTGGTCATCTTTGATGCTGTGACCGCACCCCTGCCCCAGCCCACCTGCTACCCCATGGTTTTCAGAGTTCTTTTGTCTGATGGTGGCTTGTATATTCTGTCCAGAGCTAATAGCTGTAGTCTGAGGGAGAGCGGCTATCTTGAGTATACTTCCTTCTGCTGCCGTCATTCTCGAGGGACTTTTGCTGGGGAGAGTTCTCAGCCAGCATGTTGTGGTGGCACCGACTCTGGCTTGCGTTGCTGCCGCTGAGTAGCGCGTCCTGATCTGTCCTCCTTTGGAAGTAACTCTTCCTCCTGCTGCTTTTAAGATATTTTCTTTTCTTTGGTTTGCTGCAGCTTCAC